TATATATATATATATATATATATATATATACCATTAACTTATATTGTGAAAGCATTATTTTCTAGTTTTTTATGTCATGTAAAAAAATGAGGCAGTCCAGACAGTACTAATACAAACTAGAACAGGGTTATGAGAATTTTCGTAAGTTGGGCATCAGTGGCACTAACCATATCATGCTTACTACATCTTTTCAGAATACCAGCCACAGCCCAACTTACATCAAGTTACATCCAACTTAATTGCTTTTGAAAAAGAATTGACAATATGTGATTAATTGAAACCCTATTAATCTCAATGAAAGTCATACATAACTAGATTGGGGGCAACATACCTGACTTTTTCCCATTTTCGCCAACTATTTCCAAGCCAAAAATATTTTATCTCAGCACTACATCTTTTCAGAATACCAGCCACAGCCCAACTTACATCAAGTTACAACCAACTTAATTGCTTTTGAAAAAGAATTGACAATATGTGATTAATTGAAACCCTATTAATCTCAATGAAAGTCATACATAACTAGATTGGGGGCAACATACCTGACTTTTTCCCATTTTCGCCAACTATTTCCAAGCCAAAAATATTTTATCTCAGCTGCAGCAAATTACTTTGTAGGAGCTTTGTCTTCTCATGGATTCTGTTTTCGCTCCAGTTAACTTCAGAATAAGTTCCAACTAAACTCTATGAACTTTTCTTTTCTCTCCTTATTTAGCCATCTCTTTAAGATCTTAGTTTAAGTTTTAGAGTAAGAGAGATGATAAAAAGAAACGTGTTTTTTAAATGTCACCTATAATTTATTTTGGACAAATGCCTTTCTCAGATTGTGTTGGTCTTTTGAGTACATTTGAGAAAAGTTGTTTTCACGGTATATTTGAGAAAAGTTGTTTTCTCCATTTAAACTTTCTGTTAGCATAGCATAGGATTATGTGCTTTGTAGCTACATCTTCCTACATCCATCTTTTTCTGGAATATAAATTTTTAAAAATTAGCTGGCTACATTTTGTGTAAACCCTAAAAAGTAGTGACTATACTCTGTGACTATGAATGGCTGTACCTAACACCTTTATCTTTTTGCTAATCTGTTCATGTTTGAAGTTAGAATAATAAATGTTGAGAACTTTAAATGAAATGAAAGTTTCCAAGGCGACAATTTCTCATTTTAATCTTAAAAGAAATTTCTTTTCTAAATAATTTGGTGGTTAGCTAGATGAATTTTTTCTGCATATTTATTTATATTGAAAAGAGGTTGATTTCTATAAACTACCATACTAATTTGTAATGTTCAGGAAGCCCTATTTTTTCAGGATAAATAAAAACACTTTTATTTCATTTAGATCTGTGTTATATACAGTGAAAAGAAGAAAAAAAATTGCAGACTTATCTTATATTTTCTGATACATGAATGTTTTGAATATCAATTAATTAAAAAGAATGCATGAATTATATTTTAATACTATTTCCAGTATTAAAATAGAATATAGAAAATATACTATGAAATTTGAAACTTACTTTTGGGATTTTCTCTACATATTACATGATAGCAGAAAAGCTTTAGGCTTAGAATTTTAAGTTATCTATTATTGCACAATAATAACAAATTATTTCACCCTTGATGGAATACTGACAACGCATGCACATTAAGAGTAAAATTTGGTTTAGTATATTAATTCCAGTTATAGGTATCAACCACACAAAAGTTTATAGCAGTACCATTGCAATCTGGATTTCATATCTATTCGTTTTTCACAAATGCTGAAATCCAGAGAATTCACTCTGTATTCAGAAAACAATATATCATGAATGTATTCAGCATAGTACATATAGAACAACCCATGCATGAGCCAATGGATATTTATTTTTTGAATGTACACTGAAATCCATACATGGATATGTGTACATGCTCATTTTATTCATTTTTATGCAAAAAAAACACCATCTCTCTCTGCTTAGAGAGTTTAGTTTGCTGCAAGAACTAAACATGATTGGTGAAGTATTTGGGGTATCCATGTATGCATCACAGTTTAATAAATGCATGAAATATTTTGTAGGAAAAATTTAAGTTGCAGCAATATCAATACAATGATCTAATGTTACCTAAAGGAACATAAATGATAAACATAAAGGTATGTAAAAATAAATATGTAAAGAGAAATATCAACAGATTTTTGGAAAGTTCTGTTTTTAAAACTGATATACCATATGTATTTCTGTTGAAGATAGTTTTGATATTGAAATTAATTTGGTCTACTGATATTTCTCTATGTGTATTATATTATATTAACTGATATTTGACTGCTAATTACTGCTTTTTGACTCCTGATAGACTATTTGGTTCATTTAAATTACATATTATTAATTATAACTGTTTCCTTTAGTTTTTATGTTTATCTTGTCTGATCTGAAGTCCTGGCCCATATCCAAAGAAATATACTGGTATCAAACTTTTAAAAGTGCACAGTCTATTTTATGGATATTGGTGAATTCCAGTTTCAAGTATAAAAGGTACACTTTAAAAAAAAAAAGAGGGGGTATTTGCATCTTTCAGAGTTTATTCATACCAGAATAAAGCCCTAAAATTTTAAAACATATCTTTAAAAACATACTGGTTGATCTGGCTAGAATTCTGAAAAATTGCTGGAGAATATAGCACTGTGATAAGAGGAATCCAAACGAACGAATACCCAGCATACGATCTGACTAGAAAACAGAACCACTATAATGCATGCAGAGCTTGAGTTTGCAACAAAAAATGTTATTCTTTCTTTTCAGATGGTCTTATCAGAATTCTTCTCATTCTTATTATGTGAGGACAAAAAAAGACTAATGCAAGTATGTTTTTTGTTTTGTTTTAATCCATTGTAAACTTGTGCTGTATTGTTGAAGCACTCTACACATCTTCAAGGGAAACAAGCAGGAAAAAAAAAAAAAAGGAAAGGATATTTTTTTTAAAAAAATCCAGGAATGTCCTTAAATTGACAGGAAGTCAAATAACTTTAATTTGGCATCAAATGCTTTGGTCACACCTTACTGACACTGTGATCCCAGATGCTTTGTTCTGAACACCCAGTAATGAAAGGTAGGCTTGTTGTAGTTTTGTATTTTAAGTTCCAATATACAGTTCACTGTCTCCCCAAAGGGGAGAAAGAGAAAGAGAGAAAAAGGTGGTTTGGGTTTTCCCCCCATTTTTAATAATATGGATTAATCTATAAGTCTACAGGAGCAAGAGAGCCTGAAGAGAACCAAATCAGCCTTTTAGTGTACATGTTCTGCAGCAAAGTTGCTGAAGTACTTTCCGCTGGCAAAGATTATTCTTTTTCACTAGCATACAGAAGCCTCCTTCCGCCCAAGATTCTTCCGTTGCTTCCAGAGGTCATAGAGAGTGGAAGGAGGTTGAGTTTTGAACAACATGGTGTCAAGTAGAGGAAGATTTAATTTGTCAGACAGGCAAATTTGATGGAAGAGATCATTCAGGAGCAGGTAGCAAATAGGAAATTGTGTTTCCATCAAAAGGAATTTCAGGCACAACAGCATTTGTTTTCAGGAAGATATATTGAGTTGCAGCAAGGAGTGATTTGTATTCATTTATGTAAGAAGAAAAAAAGATCAGAAAGAGAAATATTAGAAAACAGTGAAAAATGCAGTCAGAGATATCTTATTGAGTATTATGAATTAAAAAAGAATACTAAATAGCTACACACAAGAATATGCACATAATTTTAAGTCATACAGAATATAATAGAATAGTATTGTGATTCCTTGTGCTCCCAAAAGTGCTTATGATATCTTTTGCCCACTGTGGAATTGCAAAACATGATTTATGACAATATGCATCACAATCATTTTTTTTTTTTTAACCTATTCACTTGTTACTTTCTGGAGAAAAATCTTAATCTCATCCTGCGCCAAGCTCTAATGCATAATTTCCCTACATCTGAAGAGAAAAGATAATAAATAAGTTGGGTGGATTGTACTGTCTGATCATTCACTTTGGGATAAATTTAGAGATATGCATTTGCCAACAGAAGAGCATTTGCCAGTGAAAAAAAATTCCATCTAGCCTAGCAGCTCCTTCTGAGCCCACCCCCCACCCAGTTCTATTATAGAGTGATTGGAGGCTACAGTGGGGAGGATAGAAAGGGCAAATTGGATTATCCTGTCTCTGTGAAGAACATGAGTTTTCAATCTGGTTCTAAATACAATCCCAGACTCAGCTAAATGTGCTAGTGTCCTGTTTATTCATTACATTCTCCCTGCTGTGAGAGAAAAAGTTATGCATGTAATAGAGATTCATGCAGAGGAATGATTTCTGCTTGGATAGTAACAAAAAATATACATGATGTCGTATTGTCACTTTAAATGATAAATGAAAATACAATTGTAGTTCTTAAATTATCTCTTCAGTCGAATGTTAGCTGGTATTCTTTCAATAGTGCCCTCAATCTTTCTTAACTTCAGCAAAATTGGGTGCTAAGCACTTTTTCTAAACAGTCAATCAGTTAAAGGAATGTTGCAATACTTGTTGGTTTAGCAATTTTATTGTGTACAAAAGCATGTCATTTATAAGCGTTTTTAGGAGAACTATGAAATAATGACAGAGAAAGAGAAAATAAAATCATCCTTGAAATTAATATGTGCATGAAAAATATTCCTCACTGGAGTTCTGTTTTCTCAAATTCATTGTTAGGGGCAAATGATGTGAAGCTCATAGAACATAAAGATGCTCTCAATAGCACTTACATATATTGCCATTGAGATTGAAAATAGTCTATTGTTAAGAATCTTGCAACATTTTAAATGCTACTTGAACAAAAAGGGTGCACAACCAGAGGCCTAATGTCATGTGTATATTAATTCTCTGTAAATTCTGCATATATACTGTGATGATAAAAAAAAATCTTCAGTTGTACAGTAAACTCTTGATTTAACAGACTAATGGGGGAAGGGATGTTCATGAAAACAGAATGTCCATTAAATCCACATGGATTTTGTATAAGCATATTTCATATATTTTATGCATCTTATACTCCCATAAAATGGCAAAATAGATTTTATGCATGTACAGAAGCTTAAAGTTTATGGACAAATTTTGTCTATAGCATTTGAGGTCTCCTAAACTTTAATTGAGAGTTTACTGTGGTTTAAATAATTTGCTTTCCAAGTCATAGGCTCCCTTAAAAATCAGGGAAAAAACCCTGAGTACACTATGAGGTGATTCTCAGAATGTCAAGAGAAGCAATAGCCAGAATGTGAGTTACAAATCTTAGAATGGAGTATTTCAGTTTGGAAGAAATTGTAGCCGGATACAAATCATGAAAAGAACACCTGGACAGGATATAAAACAATCAGAACAGTACAGAGGAAAAAAACAGGTCACACAGTCCAACATTTAGCTACAATGAAAGAAGCAAGGAGAAATGTTGGTAGAACACAATGGTAGGTGATATGAAGAATGTGACTGTAGCAGCAGTTGTAAATGCAGATGAGACACAGATATCTGAAAGTGGTAATGCAATATCATTAAAACAAGCTGAGATGTACTGTTTAGCATAAAAGTAATATTTATTAATTTCTTTAATCTACTTGATGCTTACCCAAGGTGCTTGAAGAGTTTTGAACAATGCAAAACTAAGACTCTTTTTGTAATCTAGCACTGTTCGCCAATTAGATTTGTAGCCTTTATGAATTTCTTTCCATTCAACAAAAGGGGTTTAACAAGATACACTATGTTCTGCTACTTCACTGTGTATCTTTATTACAACAGACCTCACTCTGGATATTAATGAAACCAACTAGAAGTTATTCCTTTTTCCAGTATCTCAGCATATCTTAACAAGGTAGAGAAAAAATGGAGAGTATGGCTTCTAAATTTTTTCCCCAAATTTTGCTCTGGGTCATGTAACCAGAAGGAAAAAGTCAAGGGGCTTAAATTGGCAGCCTTTTTTCTGCATTTTTCCCCCTTGCCTAGATCTGGCACATTTTCAAATATTTATTTATTTATTTAGTCAGCTTCTCCCCCAAGTCCAAATTTGGCCCCATTCTGTTCCATTTTCAGACCAATAGACAATGCCTATTATATAATTTTTTCAAAGGTTCCTTTGGGTTGGAAAGAAAAATAGTAACATATTTAAAAGAAGGAACAATCAGTTTAATCTTCTGCAACTGTTTTTAATGTCAGTTTTGCATAAGCGATTGAGGCTTGACAGCACAACAGATTTGTGGAGGGAAGATACAAACCTGATGCAATAAATGAGCAAATACAGATGATCATTTATTCCAACTTGCTACCATAGGTGTACACCTTTATGGTAGTTTGTCATATGTTGAACTTTAATGCAGTGAGCATTTTATTCTGTGTCTCTTGTGCATAAAGTATTCCAAACCATGTGATGGTTAGGGGGAACACCCTATTTACCATATGCATGGATACTACTGATGGTCGTTTTCCAAGAGTAGCAATATGGCTTTCCCCTTGTTAAATTACTTCTCCGTAAATGGTTGGTTACATCTACCATCCCAGTAGAAAAATCCTAATATCCACTCCCAAGCCTGTTTCTGTTTTCTCTTATGTCCTCCAATGCATAACTGCACATTGGTCCTATCTGTCCCCAGAATTAGTCTAGTTGGAGCCTACAGATAGTGTCTACTCATATAGTTGATTCTTTCTAATACATCAGGGGATGCAAGGATTGGAATAGCTGGCCTTTTTGATTCCAGTATGACTATGAAGGGGTTGAAGGCACCCCCATTGTTTCTGGATGAGGTTATTTATTTTTTTCACTATAGTATGTATGTATGTATATATATGTATATAGTATGTGCGTACACGTGCGTGTATGTCTGTGTGTATACACACACACACACTATAGCAAAAGTGTATTTCCCACAATAAATAATAATCAGTTCTTTTATACTTAGAGTTTGTCAAATGAAAAACTTGCAGCATTTCACAACTGGGGGACAATTTCAGCAAGTCAGCTGATTTATTCTGTCTTTGTTTAGGGCTTCTTTAAGTAGCTTTTTTTAAAAAAATCTATTTTATTCTGTGTTGGATCTCTTTTATTAATACTGTTTGTACATTCTATTTGTTTTCAGAAGCTTTTAAGCAAATACATGAAAATAGAATATTCTTTTAGCTTATTCATAAATGACAAGAACACTGAACTGGAAGGATAGCCTGTGTTCTTTCCTACTGGGAATAAAAACAGTAAAGGAGTTAAGTTTTCTTGAGATTATTTTTTAAAGTCCAAATAATATAAACAGAGGAAAAGTCAGAAAAGAAAATTAGTTGGAGAAAAGCACTCACCATCTTTACAGACAAGACCAACTACACAGAGACCTGCATCTAAGATATAGCTATTTGGACAACTTGTACAATTTCTTTCTCCTGGGCCACTGCACCCAAAACAGCTGGCATCACATCTTGATGAAAAAAACAGCAAGTTATAAATAAGATCAAGGTTGATTATTTGTCTTACAATCAAATACTGCTTGATTTATTAGCTTTATCCATGAATTATTGCAAGAGTCTAAAATGTTTATGCTAACACAGAAAATAGCATAGCAAAGATGGTAATTGGACTCAAATGGCTATCTTATCTTTGTTCCTGTCCTCTGAGGCTTGACAGTTGTTCATATATAAAGAAAACTGTGTATGCTTCCACCATTTCCATATAGTTAACTATAATCTGGTGGTTGTGTGTCAAAACAGTCAAATAATCTGGCTGCTCAGAAATTTCAATTAATCAAATATATTTCTTCCTATACCCCACCTTTGGGATTAGCAGGCATTACACATGTTGCTCCCATTCTCTCCTTTTCAGCTAGACAGCCAATTCCCTGTCATGCCTCCTGACTCTCAACCCATGGTTTCTGGATGAAAAATGGTGAGGTTGATGGGGAAGAATTATCACTTTGGGGTGATTAATTGTATGTGGTAAGACTGTTGGGCTTTGGAATGTTTCACTACAGAAATTATGCACTCACGACATAGCTCTTCTCTGCCACCAACTTAACTTGGCTTGGGAGGGTTTGTGCCCTTAAAGATGTCCTAGGAATATTTTAAAGGATTCTAGATATCAGAAGCTTTGTTCATACAGCTTGGCAGGGAATTGCTACTAATGCTAGGTACAAATTTGGAAAATTAAAATGTTGATTAAGAGGAATTATTTATAGAAAATAATATTGCTTTTCAGTAGGGCTGTGCAAAGCTTCGGGGGGGGGGTATGCTTCAATAGCATTTCAAGGGAAGTTCACCTTCAAAAATGCTTCAAAAAGCAATATGTACCCTCTGCTTCTAAATATGAAGTGCCACATTACTTTACCATACCTTGCTTCTGAGGCCTCCTCCAGCTGTTCTAATACTACGAGCAACTTCTGCAAATGTTATGCGTACTTTGCAGTCTCTCCTAACTTTTGTAGCTTTTGCTCAAGGCTTCATGGAAATGTGAAAGGTTCCTCAGAGGAGAACTACATTGTCTCTTAACCTTGACATGAGAATTATATTGCCTTTGCAACGTGAAGTTCCTCACTGAGGCAAGACCAAGCCACCTGTCAGCCCTTTGAAAGAGACCAGGTCAGGAAACAGACTCCGCAAGAGGTACCGGAACTCTCATTTTGCATGCTATAATAACAGTCTCTTGAAAGCCTGCGAAGTTTCTCTCTCCCCACTCTTAGACCAAACAGAATCAAGGCAGGTCAATTTTGAGTTTCTTTCTCACTTCCTCCTCTCTTTCAGGGCTAAGCTGATGTCTGTGTAATCTCCCTTGCACTCCTTCCTCAAGGTTGTGTCCATACTTCTCTACACCACCTCATAAAGTCCCACTTTTATGATGGTAGGATAAGACTGTTTAAGTGTACAGTTCTTAAATACCTGAGGTTAAATACAGTGGTGCTTTGGATCATTTTCCTCAATAAATAAATGAACAAGTATAATGTTTTTGACTAATTTTAATTGGGTTCTCTTTATCTACAGTCGTGTGAAAAAGAAAGTACGCCCTCTTTGAGTTCTATGGTTTTATGTATCAGGACATAATAAAAAATCATCTGGTCCTTCACAGTTCTCAAAAGTAGGTAAATACAACCTCAGATGAACAACAACACATGACATATTACACCATGTCATCATTTATTTTACAAAAATTAAGTCAAACTGGAAAAGCCATGTGTGAAAAACTAAGTACACCTTATGATTCAATAGCTTGAAGAACCACCTTTAGCAGCAATAACTTGAAGTAATTGTTTTCTGTATGACTTTATCAGCCTCTCACATCGTTTTGGAGGAATTTTGGCCCACTCTTCTTTACAACATGGCTTCAGCTCATTGTGGTTTGCAGGCATTTATGCACAGCTCTCTTGAGGTCCCGCCACAGCATTTCAATCGGGTTGAGGTCTGGACTTTGACTGGGCCATTGCAACACCTTGA